CAAGTGGAGGAGGGAGTTTTCATTGTTGAGAGTTCACAACTACACTTTTAATTTATTAGTTTTGTCAATTCAATTGTGTTTTTTACTATTTCTGTCACATTACCAAGGATTTATACAATAAGGGTACGAAACATGCATGTCATGTAAGGTGGTATATGCATAACAAATCCCCCATCCAATCCCATGTGAATTCCATTGCATCATGGGAGATTATTTCTGACCAATGATATCACAGCACACCAGGTTATTGTGAGGATATTGGCCTAAACAACAACAAAAAAAATACATAATACGCTTTTCGCAAAAATGCAATGATGCTAGCAAAAGCGATTCACGAACTTGCAAATTTGCATTTAATTGGTCTCGCAATTTGCATGATCGTCATGGCATATCACATCAGTTATATACTCCTTTCCCAAGTCCTTGGCATTATGGTGTTATCGTAAGAATGCCACAAAGTACATACTGTACATACTTTGCGGTATTTCTCGTGATAATCTTATGATTACTATACACGTCTTTCCTGCATGTAGCAATAATTTGAAGCGCGGTGGTCGCTGGGCAGCGCAAGTTCGAATTCCATGTAAATAAACAATGTATTTTACACGCGTTGTGTACGCCGCTACGAGTCCCACATCGAATAGAACGCGGCGCGACAACTGCCGCCCTTTAATGAGAAATTATAGCCTAAAATAAAAACAAAAACAATTTCAGCTGTAAAATTTACATTCAGTGACGAAATTATATTTCTGTTAAGCTATATTTGCTTCTGCATCCAATGTACCGTATACAAAGAAAAAATTTCCAATATGATGTCAGTATTCTTAAATATGTCAATGTTGGTGATATGCAGTTTACACCAGATAAGTGAAAATGTTCAAAACAAGCGTTTTGGAACGATCAAGTGCTGATACGACAGATGCTATTGTTTTTAAAGCTTGATGTACAAGAATAATTCATTTAAATCTAAAGAATCTAAAGTGTTAATTATTCAATGGTGCTGTAAGAGTAAGCTTGGTATGAGGTATCAAAATTATATTACACTCACTTACCTTTGTATTTAAATGGGTGTATGTAATAATTATTAAATGAATGGGACATTGGTGACCACTGGTGGTCTATATACACTTGCAGGTTGCCGATGTGTTGCTTGAACTGCCTAAAAGTAGTCACTATGCGCAGGTGGTCTTTATATAGGGGTGGTCACTGTACGCAGATGGTCACTTTTAAAATAAAAAAAATATTTTTGAAAACAAATTGGCTGAAACTTATGTTTTATGATAAATGCAGATGTAACAAATTATATACAATGATGCAAATAATTGAGGTTTAATAATGTAATTATGATGTATACATATTGTGTCTAATATAGACCAAAACTGAATAACAGATATAATTTATTTGATTAATAAATAAATTATAATGTATATACAAAACTGTTATGTGTCATACGTATGTTAACTCATTACATCACTCATTAGTAGTGTTGACGCTACACAAAGTACGGGCTAAGATTTAAGCATGTCAGATAGACCTAATTGCGTTCACACACATTTACTTGCCAAGTTTTCTGATAATCACACTATGTGGTGGACATTTATTCCTGCAGTTGTTACTGGATTGTCAGTACAAGGGGAAGCCAGATCACTTGAACATGCAGGAACCCCAGAATAGAATCTGAATGAGTCGGCAAAGGATAACATTTGATTAATATTAACTCAGGTAGAGTTGGTCAATACTGAGTGGTCACTTAATGCCATGTGGTTCAAGGCCAATTGTAATTGCAATCTTTCAATGGCTTTCACTACACATTTTTTGTAATGCAAGATGGCATAGATTTGAGGATTGTTGGTGCCACCCACCCACCCTCTTCCACAGACAAGACGTTAGTCTATATATGTAGACATGTAAAGTGTTTATATACCTTTGGAAGAGTAGATTCCTATGTCTGTGTAGGGAAACAACTTCTCCAGGAGTCTCTTTTGGACTTCCGTTCTCAAAAGCAACTGTGAGGGCACCTGACTTAAAAGGGTCTATATAAATTCAGGATTTATTCACATGATTATTATATACAAGGGCTATATTTGTTTCTGTATAATAAATTCGCAGTCCTAAATCTTGGTTTAAGTAATTCCCAGTTTATTTTCCTTTGTGTTTTGAGGGACAAAATGAAAAACAAATCACATGCAAACTTTGTATGTATACAATTATGACTTGTCTGTACTGACTGAACAAAATCAGTCCAGGAATGGAGAAAAATTGCAAAAGTGTGTAGTAATGAAAATTTCAGTACATTTCATGAAGTTTAGTGAATACATACCATCAAATCATGAATTGCAAACATTTGAAAGTTCACAACACAACAATAGTATCAATTAAAAGTTGAAAATACTACTGCTATGACATCAATCATCTCAATGTATTCATTTCTCCTGCCACTAGTACATGTACATATTGCTCAATGAGGAATATTTCAATTGGTTTCATATTTTATTTAAATTCAAATATTTAAAATATACAGAAGAAAAATGAAATAATACATCTTACATTGCCAGAAAATAATGTAACATTGATACACAGATTAGAAGTTTATTTTTTATGTACACAGAATACAACCCCTAATACCAACTTATCAGTAACAAAACATGTTTTCCTTTCAATGTACAATTTATTTATATATATATGTAATATCTGCATGAATAATTGGTTTGAAAAAGAAACAAGATCACCATTCATTTGTATGCACTGTTGTATATTCACAGGACATAAATATAGGAAGTTCTCAAAGATCATAGCACAATACATGAAACTCCTACTAAGCTGTTCACTCTGACTAAAAATGACTTCAGTCGACTTGAGGATTAGCCTTAAAAAGATACTCAGCCTGAAAAGAAAAGGAATGAAACATATTAAGTACAATGCATATTTCCTGATTAATGTTCTTGGGGGGGTCCATTTGATTAACAAAAAAGAATATATCATTCAATAACTATTTAAACTGTTTGTAGCTATGCACTCATAAGTCATTAAACAAGCAGCCTCTCGGCTGAGATAGCTCCGCTGTTAGCAATGCACATTTCAATTAAAGAACAGAAGATATCATTAGAAAATGAACAATATGCATAGTATCAATGCAATGGGACTTGTTGTTTTCAACAAGAATTCAAAAAAATTCATTTTTCACCATAAATGATTGTGATTGTTAACAAGAAGTTGAAAATATCACTTTTTACCAAAATTAGAAAATTCAAGATATCATGAAATGAACAAATTTGAGAGTGGTCCACATGTAGTACTTATATATGTAATATCAAGGCAATTGGACTTGTGGTTTTTAACAAGAAGTCGAAAATATCACTTTTTACCAAAAATGACAAAAATATTCACTAAAACTAGTGAATTAAAGATATCATTACAAAATGAACAAATATGAGAGAGGTCCACATGTAGTACCTATATATGTAATATAAAAGCAATTGCACTTGTGGTTTTTAATAAGAAGTTGAAAATATTACTTTTTACCAAAAATGACAAAAATATTTACCAAAATTAGAGAATTAAAGATATCATTACAAAATGAACAATTCTGAGAGAGATCCACATGTAGTACCTATATATGTAATATCAAAGCAATTGGACTTGCAGTTTTTAACAAGAAGTCGAAAATATCACTTTTTACCAAAAATGACAAAAATATTCCCAAAATTAGAGAATTGAAGATATGATCATGAAATGAACAAATCTGAAAGAGGTTTACCCAAGGTACATATACACCAAGTATCAAAGCATTCAGGCTTGTAGTTTTCAAGAAGAAGTCGAAAAAGTAAAACATTGACACGGACGACGATGGACAATCACTCATATGATAAGCTCCGCTCGACAAAGTCAACAGCGGAGCTAAAAAGTCATTAAAAATTGGACACAATAGACACCAATAACATAAATGTATAAATGCCCCTAATGTGTTTAAGAGGGCACAAAATTAACAGTGGCCCAATGCACAGGGACTACGAAATCTTGTCCGGGGGCTACCATTTTTCAAAACTACCGGACTACTAGATATTTACAAAATATTTTTTTTATAATAAACAAATTTGTCTCCAAATCATGGGTGTCCAACACAAATTAAGCCAAATTTATTTTTATTGACTGAAAGAACCTACTAAACAGGATGGACTACCTAATATTACTATGGGACTGGTAGCCCAGCAATTCTTCAAAAAATGTCTTGATTTTGAGCTCTGGTTAACGAATAGCATAATTCAAGAACATTAATAATTATTGATTGTTGATCTTACAATTTCAAGTAATACATGTCCAAATATTTTTTTTAACAAAACTCAATGAACTCTTCCCAATAGCTCAGCAGACCTTCAACCCATTGAGCTAGATAGAAGCCATACTGCAGTCATGGCAGTCAGAAGAAATGTGAGTCATAAAAACACATGAAAGATTTAAAACTACACACTGAATTTGGGAAATACTAACCAGATGATCAATTGCATCATCAGGTCTGACTTTACAACATTCAATAAGGCCTTGAGTGAGTGTTGGCATAACATGCTTCATCAAATAATTTCTCAATGGTACAGCCTGGTTTTCTAAAACTTCCTGTTCCTGTCGTTTCACTTCCTCTAGACGTTGTGCCTGGTTGGTAAGAGAAAGAAAACAATGTATATAACACCAGCCACATTAACATCACAAACTTTTTACTATTTTAATCTCTTATGTGAGCCAGTAAGTTTTACAATACATGGGAAAAATGGACTGCATAAAATCAGTTGTTTCAATAATAAAGTCACTCACCCATTCTTCTTGCCTCCGTTGCCTTTCAGCAGCTTCTTCAGCTTCTCTCATTTCCCTTTCTTCTTTTTCTTCCTTTTCTCTCTGCAGTCTCTTTTCAGTATTAACTCTCTCCATTTCTTCAAGTTCTTCTGGAGTAGGCCCATAGTTACGTGGCTCACCCATAATCTTGATAATTTTGTCCACAATGCCTTTGTTTTCAGGATCTGTCTCTTTAGTGGCATCTAAAGGACAGCAGAAACAGAGGTTGAAAACTATGTCCTTTATGCTGATGACAAGTGTTTTGGATTACCATCAGCATTTTATCACATTTAATTGCTCATAGAAAACTAAAAATATGGATTCTCATGAAGAAACATTCTAAAGGCACATCCCATTATACAAAATGTAACTTGAGCTTTGCTATTACTATCACAACACTTACCAATGTGATCTGGATGGATTTCCAATTCATCAAAATAGTTCAGCACTGTGCTATCTTCTTCATTGACAACGCGGAAGTCACTGAGGCGTCTCAAAAGTCCATCTTCTGTATTATGAGTATCAGCAACAACACTCTCTGGTAAGTTCATGACTCGGATTTTCAAGAATTCATCCGGCGCATTGAGGGAGATAACAACTTCTGGCATTATATTTTTATCATACGCAGGAACTTTGCTGCCTTCAGGTTCCTCTTCTTCTTCATCAGCTGTAGGAGAGAATGATAAATTATAGCATATTTCTCACAGTATATGCATTCAAGTATTGTACCTACATTGTATATAGTTCTCTAGATGTCATAGTCAATCTATATGGCCTGAAGTGTACAAGTAATACATACAATGTGTAAAGGTCATGATCACAATAAACAATTTAGTACAAATGGTTTGGATTTCACCAAAAATGTCTTTAGGCATTTTCAGGGCGTTAAAAGGGGCAAAGCATTTGAGGACATTTAACACTTTTGATGGAACCTTTCATAAGTACACTATATGGTAAACAGTGATCATTTTAAAAATAAATTGGCACGTACTAGCAAACAGTTCCTTAGCTTGTTCATAAGTTTTGGGATATCCATCCAGGATGAAGCCTTGGTTCTGACATGGCATCGAATGAAGCTTCTCACGAAAGAACTGGATGATGTATTGATCCTCAATACGACCTTAGAAAAATAATAAAATAAAGACATATGAAAATCATGTGAGCATACCGGTACTCACATGCACATAGTTGAATGATGTTTATAGTTTTAAAAAAAGGGTAAATAAATGTAATAATGCATAATAATTCTTTTCAATTCTCATGACAGTAAAATTGAAAACTTTTAAGATAACGGTGGTTAACAGAACATATTAGTGAGCTTGATCCAACTACACTACAGTTATACTTTAAGAATAGCTTACCACCATTATTATCTTTACTTTCTGTAATCTGGTCTAACAATTCCTGATCTTCTTGTGCCTTTCCATCATCATCTTCATTCTCATCTTGATCTCCACGAGCAGCACTCTTCTCCTAAGAAGCAAACAATACAAGATACAACTGTACCAGTTAAATTGTTGCTTGCTAACATATCTAGCATTTTTTTTAAAAAATCATAATGACACTCACCAATTTTTCAATGGCTTCTTTGATTACATCATTAATCTTTATATGATGCAGTTTATAATGTTCACACAGTTTCTGGACAACTGAGGTCTTTCCCACAGCAGGTGGTCCAAGGATACATGCACGCATGGGCTACATGAGTCAGAGGAATGAGATGTTATTATAGTAATAAATACATTGCATAAATCAATACATCATTTGCCAACATAAGAGAACAGAGAGTGTATTCAAAATTTTCTGATTACAGTAGACAAAGTAACCTTTAGTGGCAAACGCCAAATGACTACAATTTTATCCGGTAAAAGAATTGTAATTATAATTTTAAGCTCCGACTAAATTAACTTATAAGGTGTAACTTGTGGGGCGTGAAATGATGTGATCATGTAGGTGTTGTATCTATGATGTACTTACAAGCAGTCCTCGAGTTGTCTTGTATTCTTTAATAATACTTTGTATGTTATCAACAATACCAGTCTCAGCAACCCATCTAATATTCATACTTTCCTTAATATATACTGCATCCATTCGAAGATTGACCAATAATTGATCAAAGTCTGCTTGCTATTAAATGAATAAATTCTTATTAGGCACTGGTTACGTATTTAGCATAATATTTGGTTACATTAACGTCAAAGATGTCATAGTAGTAGTATTTACAAGACTTTTATTTCATAATGGTGTCTATATGATTGCAGTGACTGATCAGACAATCTTCAAATGTAAAGAACTAGTAAGACGATTATATGATCCTGGAGTTAGGGAAGAGTAGGAAATCAAACTCGCGGTTAACCGCGGTGGTGGTGGGTGCTCGCCGGTCGACCGCATTTTATGCAAATTTATGCATAGATTCCATGACCCGGTTTACCGCGGTCGTGTGCGGTAGGCTGGCATGACAATTTACACCCTATTGTTAAGACTATGAATGGACACGATAGACTGGGAAACTAAAGGTTACTTGCCGCCAAGTTCAAATAATAAAAATCGAGTGGTACCAGAAGATTGGAAAAATCGTCTCTATTAGTTCGCAGAAGAACACTATTTTATTTTCACGAGTCTTGGTATAACATCGCAAAGCAACCCAGAATAATGTAGACCCCACATAATGTAAAATAATATCACATTATTTTGAATTTACATCATGTATGGTCTCAGGATTTATTTTAAAAGATTAATGTTTCGCGTATACCAATATAATCGGGCGAAGTATAAATTCCAAGTGAAAAACACTCGATGAGAGGCCGCAGTTTACGTTACCTCGAGACCATGCACTAAGTAGGAAAAGCAAGCCGAAGTCGAAGAGGGAGTGTCACACACTTGGTGCTACAATATATACTACAACAACTGGGTGATCAGCGAAAAAAATAGCGCACTTCTTGGCGAAACCATGGAACTATTTATAGTTCCATGGCGAAACTGACTAATGTAATAAACCTTGGCCTAAGTTTAACCACAAGTCACGCGCTGAACAAGTGGGTTGTTGTTACCTTGGTGACCATTCGCGCTCCGCGCGTTGACCTTATTATTATACACATCCCATTACGCAAATTTTAACTGGCTCTGCGTTGCCTACGTAAAATTTGTTACCGTTCTGGTTGTGAATATTTCACCATTGCCGACGTAATAATGCGTTGCCTTCGTAATAATTACGCAAACTTATTTTCCACTGTTTACGTACTGGCTGTGAACATTTCAACTTTGCCGACTTGATAATGCGTTGGCTTTGCAATAATTACGCAAACTTATTTTCCGTTGTCTACGTACTGGCTGTGAATATTTAACGGCCTTTGTAATAATTACGCAAACTTATTTTCCGCTGTTTACGTACTGGCTGTGAATATTTCAAATTTGCCGACTTTATAATGCGTTGGCTTTGCAATAATTACGCAAACTTATTTTCCGTTGTCTACGTACTGGCTGTGAATATTTAAACGTTGCCGACTTGATAATGCGTTGCCTTTGTAATAATTACGCAAACTTATTTTCCATTGTTTACGTACTGGCTGTGAATATTTCAACATTGTCGACTTGAAATTGCGTTGCTTTCGTATAATTTGTATAATTTATAACTACGCGACTTAGTCGAAACCGCGACTTACTGCCTCAGAGACGGGGCCACTGAATAACTTTTGTTGATAATGATATTGTAAACAAACAGCTGGCGCACACATGATAATAAAATAAATACGATATTTACTATATGGGGGCCGCCATCTTGAATGACGCATAAAACTAAATAAGAGACAAGTTGTGAAATGCGTTTTTCAGTTTCCTGCAAATCAGGACAAAAATACGGTCCGTTGGGGTTATATTAAGCCAACCGATAACAAAATTCGGCCGAATTCGTCGTTTTTGTGTGGAAAAATCTCTTGCATACGAACACCTAATTACGCGAAGAACATAGAACACTAAGCTGGGGTATTTGAAACTAAAAATTGGCATTCCAGCACAGCAGCCAATCAGCGACGGCCTAACGCTTAGATGACAATTTTTTTTTTAGCTCCATGGTCAGTGCAATATGATGAAACTGTTTTCGCGTATCTGTTAATCGACTTAATTAGCTGATTATTTGCGAATGGCTGTGTTATGTCTGTCATCGTTTAGGCAGGCGAGGTCCTGGACGGAACTCGACTCAGTGATTTGGAACTAATTACGAGATAACCGTCGCTATTCGGACTGCTATTTCTGACGTTAGTATTCGTAATTATTAATGTAGTGAACGATTAATCAAAAGATATGATGTGTTCAGTACTTAGTTTGATTGGCTGTATGATTGAAGGTTACCTCCTAGAGTCTTAATACTGCTTTGTAATTGGTTAGAGTTTTGAAAATGAATAAAGAGAGTTTGAGTTGGTCTTGGCGAGTACAGCACGACAGACGCAGTCCAGTCCTGGAGAGTCTTGGGGCGAGCCTTGAGGCAGTCCAGTCTTGGGTCAGCCTTGCGATAGTCTTGGGGATTTTTCCCCAGGGCGCTGTGTCTTATAGAGTGCTCGACTGATCGACTAAGACGAGAGTTGAAACGTATTTCGTTGTGTGTGTCTTATTTGACTGTAAAGCTTAAGTGACTTTCCCGATCCCATACCTCAAGGGGACGCGATATAGAGACGAGACAGGATTCCCCCCTGGCACGTGTGGAGAACCCTAGAGGAGAAGAATTACCCCCGTGATAGCAATGCAGACAGCCTGATCTGTTTTGATTAGTTCGTCCGTTTCTCGTTTGCTAGCCATTTTTTCTGGAGTGTGACACAAATGGTGAACATGATACTGCCAAATCAATCAAGAACCAGGATACGGCTTGGATACGCTGAAACTTTGTGAAAATTGAATCGCATCACTTTGGAAATTGACGCTAAATACATGTACTAAATACTAAACAAGCGCACATATCGTATCCATTTACAGCATCGGATTTTAAAACAATGACTCGGGGAATAACAAAGAAACTGTTAAGTACGTATTTCACACATTACCGAGGACTGCGGTTGTGACCGGTACAGCGGTAGAGGCCCCTAATTATAAGCAGTCCGCGGCTCTCCCCGGCGTTCTGCAGTACACCGCGGTAACGATCACGGTGCACCGCCCGTTTGATTTCCTACTCTTCCCTTAACCAACATCCTTTCATCAGGGAAAGGCATCCAGGAATGTTTGCCAGAATCATCTGAAAGTTGTTGGTTCAGTGAGGGAATAAGGCATTCATGAACTAGCAAGGTATTGCATTATTTGTACAACAGTGAAATACTACAGTTCTAGTACATTAGCAATCACAATATATCCCTGTTATAGAGATACCACAAATTAGGTACAGCCTTTGTGTACAGGAGTTAGCTGAACTAGTCTATATAAATGACTGATCAGAAAAATACAAACCTTGTACATATTACCGTAAAATCTGTATTAGAAGCCGCATCTCTAATTGAAGCAGCACACATTCTTTTTGAATAACTGCGAACCCAAAAATCACAATTTCTCATGCTCTAATAGACATCGCATCTCCTCTGTTGTATTTTACCATTTTAATAGAAACCGCAGCTTCTAATACAGATTTTACAGTACTATTGGACTAGGTTGAATATCAAATATGGATATGTCTAGTTTTTCATTTCAATTAAATTTGATTGTTTAAATAATGCAGAATGTCTTTCATTAATTAAAATTATCAATGTACACTGCATTGATTCACAGTTCCAATCTGTCTGTAGAAAACAACATTTGTCTAAATCCTTACCTCAAGATCCTTACTCAGTAATGCTTCTTCCTTTGTAATATTTTTTACTTTTCCAGTGCCAAGACTAGTACTAACAGTCTGTGAATAGAATGGTAAACAAATATATTCAACAATCCCTCAAATCCACAATAGTGGGTGGATCATTCAACATGAAGATTAAAGGGTGGTGACCATTGTACCATGCATGTTCAAATTTTGTGAAAAACAAACAATTACATTTTCTTTGTATTATGTGACCTGTATGGAACAAAGCATGTTCTAACGACCAGTGCCCTTTAATGGTGTGATCCTGCTGACAATTAAAGACAGCAGGCATTTATAATCAAATATTCAAAGCGCAGTGGTTGTCGCGCTGCGCATGTGCGACATTTGTGTTGATAAACATTGATTTTCCCACAATCCAACACGCTCTTCCAATGGAAATCTCAAGTATGAGGTTTGACCTGGACGCGATTTGCAATGAATACCGCTGGGAACTCTTTCGATATCTTCCAATCACCTAAAAATTACCTAATTAGAGCTTTGAAACGTCTCAGTTTGTACTCATTGACCTGCGCAACAGTCAAAGTCGCCATCTTTGTTTATATGAGACCCATATATCTTGCGCATGTGTGGCGCAACGACTACCGTCCTTTAACTATAATTTACAAATATATATTCATTATGTATATAGAAATCATAATTATAACAAATACAACAATGTTTCCTAACATGATTATTTATTAATACTCACCCTGACAATTTCTTCAAGAGTGTTCTGTGAATCATCAACAGCCACTAGATACCTAGTTTTTGGTCGACTATCAATAGTATTCTGAAGAACTCTGAATAAAAAATAAAATAAATAAAACTATTACTAGAAGTAATGTTGGAAAATGTAAACAGATTAATGTTATAGCACAAATCACTAAAATTTTTATTTTAATATCATCAAATGACTTGTGTACCCAAGTATCTAAGCACTGAGAAAAATAACCCAAATTACTTACGCAGCAAGATCCTTGATATGAATTGTGGGTACAACATTCATTCCAGTGCCAAAACACTGAAGAGCTTCGGCTTGACCATGCCAGGCAGTCTGAAAGGAAAGCATATATTTTAAAATAATGATTTGGGCAAATTCTAGAATAAAAGAAATGAAATAGTTGTAGTCTCACTCATAGAGGTGCAAATATTTTGACATATTCACCACAAAAACCATGTTCAATTCGATATTTTTCGTTCTGAACAATTACCTTTGTAAGATAATGAAAGATGTTTTCACCAGCTCCATATGTCAGTCCAGAGGCAACAACATAGGTCACAAATCGAGATTTGTCCTGAAATAAACAAAAGTACCAATTGACATATGTCCAACATTTTGCAGTTTCGTTGAAATTGAAGATATCATGAAACCAAGCAAAAATAGGAACCATGATTAGCCAGTTTATCAGGTGTTAAGAGTTGAGCAGCAATTTAAAATTATTTCTAACTAACTTACTTTTACAGCCGTTAAATTACTTCTAACTAACTCACTTTTACAGCCATTATGCATATTTTTACTGGGATTATAACATATTTACCAATGTCATGTTGGAAATGACTTACTGTTTTTCCAAGTTTAATAACTAACTTTTCAGCACTGATGTGAGATTTATAATTTGGATGAGGCTTCCTACGCCGATAATCATCTTCTGTGAACGGAATTTCCGGATCATCCTGCAAGGGAATGTTATACATTCTTAGTTAATCAAACATTTAAATAACTTGTGAGAAGAAAATATAATAATAATTGTAGCCACAGTTCACATCAAATTAATTTCAAAGGTTCTACAATATTATTTAACACTTTGCAGAAAATGAGTGTTGTAGAGTCAAAAGCTACACCCCAATCAAATAATATAGTATAAACACCAAGTCAATACAAACACAATCAGTTAATGTTCAACAAAAAATAGACATAATGAAAAAATCATGTCAAGTCTCATTTGTTTTAAACTTAATTGTTACAATACACAAACTAGTTAAATATTTTCAGTTTCACAGAACGTAAGATATTGTCCAGTAGTGAAAACAGCACTGTGAGCATATCATCATTATAATAATGTACTTACTGGATCCAATGGTTTGCTTTTTGCCCAAGTCATTACAGTTGATAATAAAACAAACATTTTTGGACTGTCAAATCTCTCAATCTCAGCATGTAGTGCTGTAATTAAAATGCATATATGAATAATAATGCATACAACATCAATTTGCCTTGTTAAATTATCAGTCTTAAAAAGAAGAGTTTACCATGTATATTTTTAATTAAATTGTTATGCATCTCAGAGTTTATTATTATTTTTTTTTAGTTCTGTCCTTAATTATTCAAAAACCTAGATTGAAATTTTACTGACTAGTTAGAAAAGTCATTTACCTGACACTGCCCAAGATGCTTCATCTATTTGATCGGGATCTTCTGTGATATCATAAATGATTACATCACATTCCATTAAATGCTCCAAAAGTTGGTCCCGTTCAGTTGTCTATAAAAAAATGATGGAATAAATAAGTAAAATTTAATGTGAAGATATTCGTAAAATACAGTCTATCACAATAAATTTCATGCAATGTTTATATATGTTATTGATTGTGGGTACATTTCTCAATGAGATAATTATATCAAAACACACTGCCATAGATAGCTGGGGTCACTGAAAATAAAACATATTTTTTTCACAGTTTCAAAAAGTCAAAGGCTAAAAAATTGTTGAATATTTTAAACACCCTTCATTTTTTTTAATAATTTCAATTCAATCAGAATTATCACACCACTGGGGAAAAACATTAATTTATGCATTAGCTCCCACATGAGAATTAAAAGTATAGTTTAATATTTGTTATTTATACAACAGGAGAAAGATTTAATTTTAACTTTTCCCAAACTGAAATGCACAGGACACTGATAAAGACATTTAAGAAAAATCTTACCAGTATTACATCTTTTGCCCAATCTGGTTTTTGTGTTGATTGATCCTTTGCTGTCCCCACTACCTGGAAGGTACCTTCCTTTGGTTTTTGAAGAATATCAGTGTCAACACTTCTGTCATCTTCTTCCTCTTCAATTTCCTCCAATGATGCACCAACTAAGCATTGGGACAGAAACTAGAATTGGGATAAATAATAGTTTATTAAATGGAGTTTCCAAAAGAGTTGCAGTTCGATAACAGCTATTTCATAGATTCAAAAAAATCTGGAAATGTATGTTTGTCTTGCCATTTTTGATTATATCACAATTCGTATGACTTAGTCAATTCGCGCAAGATCTTGAGTGCATATCATTATGACAAAAGTCACGCTCATCCTATAAAACGAAACTGCCAAAAAATAATATAAAGTGAGGTACAGTTACATACGGGTAAAAAATGGTATGGAATATGTCACGGCCTTCTAGAGGGACTGTGGTTTATAAGACGATCGTTCTGGACAGAATTTCGTGACTTTCACAATATGGTTTAAGCAGTTCGGTACAACTTCGTGGCAAATAAATTGACCATGTCCCAAAGCTGAGCTGAATTCACAGTTATTATAGTAGTGCCGATCAGCAACAGTGTAATGATCGTACACAACAAATGAACATGTTTATAAATTATACCCTCTTCACGGTATAAAATTAACATTCGAGATAAATGAAAATACGGTGAAGCAAACACGTCGCTTCGTGTTTGAATAACTCGATCTGGTCGTTGGGAAAAAAAACACTATCGATATTAAACTTAATGTCAAACCGATAAAGATATACATTCTACAGGCTACATATACTCGAGCTCAGTGTACTCACGTTTCCTATGTTTTTTCCACCATAACAGTCTAACTGATTCACAAAGATCAGTTTTGATTGGGGTTTTTCTGAAGATGCAGTTTCTTCCGCCATCTTGACTGCAGACTGTTTTCGTGCAATGCGCAAAGAAGACAATGTTTGGATGCGCAGTAAAATCCGTCGCTATGAAGATCACGTGATTAAATACTGCCCTCTTGCGACATTTTCTAAATTTCCGATTTTCGAAATATAAATGTAGATGGCGCTATCAGACGCGTGGTAAATTCGCCAGGTAAAACGACTTTTTAAAAAAAAATATGATATAAATATATATTATTCTTATTTTTCTTGGTAGTTATCATCCAATTTTGAATTTTTGTTTCTGTAATTATTGCAGTTGTTTTAGGTTTTTCATTGTCATTGAATGTAGTTAATTCTATACTTAACTGGTTAAAATTTATTCAGCTTTTTTGTTATGTAATTTTGTGTATTTCAATTTGCAACAGCTTGCATAACAAGCATGCGAACAAATAAAATCGATAGCGTGTTCGAACGAATACATTTGTTAGCGTGTTCCGCATTTAAAAACAATATTACGTTGCATTATATTTCATTGTATTATTAACGTTTTCATTAATTATTACAATACAAATGGAAATGTAGTTGGGTTGCCACTGAGTTTCAGAATTCGTATAATGAAACGTTTACGTACATTACCGGACTGAGACCTCCCTGTCCACTGGTAACATATCTACATGGAATCTGCTAGATGCTAACTTATATGAAAAATCTCGTTCGCCTAGGCAGTTCATGTTTAAGAAACTGTTGAGTTCAAAAGATAGTTTCATTGCCAGCAGTCTAGGAGTCTTTATTCATAAAATCTTAGAAATTTATGCTTATTGTTAAACATGTTTTTGGTTTTATTTATTATTGTTGTTTGTGACAATGTGTGTTACTTTGTTCGTTTTTGGCCATAAATTATGTAATTTCTTACATTATTTCGAGTCAAATATTCTATTCTATTCTATTCTATTCTATTCTATTCTATTCTATTCTATTCTATTCTATTCTATTCTATTCTATTCTATTCTATTCTATTCTGTTATTAGAAATAATTTAACCTAGCCCTAACCCTAACCCTAACTCATGCCACGTGTTCAGGGCGGTGACTTTGTAGAATCTGCAACTGAGCGCCAAGCATCAGGAGAAACTGGCTTTATATGGATACGATTACTTTTGCACCCAGTGAGCGCATCCGGGCGACGCTTTTTATTCAGCCTCTCTGGTATTTGGCTTTGAATATAAGGACCTGTGAAAAATGCTACACACTTCTAAACCAAAATAACGTGAACTGACACCCCGGTCGGGCGGCACATACCCGTATTGCACTTCTATGCAAGTAGCCCCCCCCCCCAGGGTATGTCATACGATTAAGATCTCGGACCCACGTCCCTTGGATTTGTTAGGACTGAAACCACATACTTTACCTCCATCTTCACCTGATACAGGTTACCGTGACCGTTCCAAAGTACATTTTTTTGTCTACTCATAATTTTTTGAGAAATTTGGTTGCTCATTGGTTTATTATGTGAAATTATGAAGTTTTTGTCTCACGGTACCATGAAATAGAAATATTTTGTGTGTTACACGGACGCTACTTTAAGAATAATTCCATAGGGCAAAATGTTAAAGAGAAATTGTACATTTTGTCACTTTTTAAAACCCAGATTTGTGAAATAATAGAAAACAACAAACAAATATTTTTTTTCTCACGAGCCTATAATTTGAGCGCATATTATCTCTCCCATATGAAACCTGGGGTACTACAACACTGTCAAAATGACCACTAAGATACAACCATCATTTTCTCGAAAATTGAGCTGACTTTATTTACGTCAATATTCTTATATTGCACGGAAGTACAATTTATTGAAAATTAATAAATTCGAAATTTCAAGGTACATTTGTCATCGAATGATTCCCGTAGAATACTACATTATGATTGCGCCCTTGAGTTGTCATGGTTACAAGGTCTTTGGTGCTTATTGTCAATGCATGACTTCCACGTCGATAGCTATATGGTCATCAGAAACTTCGTCATCAAGTGGACATTTAGTAATATGTATCGAAATATCGTACATTAATGACCCAAAATAATTTAGGTCAAATCAACTCAAATACTAGACAGCTTATTCGTTTCAGTATTCTATGGACAATGGATTGTCTCAGGCTGAAGACTGACAAACGACGTCTGGGTTGTACATGCAGATGTCTCCGACCGTCGACTTAAGGCAATGTAACTGGTGGTAATTCAATACCAGGTACCGAACGAACACTAACATATGTGGACCATGTCTTTTACCTCCATGTGTGGACACAGACAATCCAAGTTTACTCGCCTTTTTTGACCATGCAATTTTGGAAAATTTTCCACAACAGACAACATTTTTAGCATGTTTATTTCCTTACTAGTTTCCATAGAGTCGTGTTATTTGTTATCAGAGACCCATTTATTTGATTTGATGTTGCAGAAGAACTCATATTGTAGATTTAAATTATCATTTCAGATATCTATCTATCAAGCGACCTTCACTTTTTTGTCCTACGCTACATCAATACAATTGCACAATATCATCTCAGTATTCACAGTATAGTAGCCAATTGTATGTTTTAAAAATAAACTTGATGCATACAAACGTGACTTGGTCTGATGTGGTCCACTTACTTACTAATTTCTGCGCATGCGCCGCGGCCATTGATTGGCCACTTCGCACTGGCAGTAAGTACTCTTGTTGAGTTCACATCTCGATATAACTTAATAATGTTTGAAATAAATAAATAAATAAATAAATAAATAAATAAATAAATAAATAAATAAATAAATAAATAAATAAATAAATAAATAAATAAATAAATAAATAAATAAATAAATAAATAAATAAATAAATAAATAAATAAATAAATGATTGATTGATTGGTCGGTCACTTCGCACTGGCAGTACTCATGTTGAGTTCACATCTCGATATAACTTAATAATGTTTGAAATAAATAAATAAACAAACAAATAAATAAATAAATAAATAACTCATTTGACTAACATTGCGAAGTTAGCACCGACACGATCGTTTGGGCGTTATGGATTCGACTAATTTGTATGAAGATAAATGCAATATCATTCAATGGGCAAGTCGCTAACATTCTAACGGATTACGCATCAACAGCTCGAGCACATTTTCGGTTGGGGAGGGATCCTCGCTGATTTGGCAACTCAAATTTATTTAGGTTATATTTTTTTTAAATTAAGGCTGACTTTGGAAAACACATCTGATTTTGGAGAAAACAGAAAGCGAAGAACACGCGGGACTTTAAAAGCATGATATAACCACTGCAGTGCAGGTCACACTCTCAGCGCTTTCTATTAGAGACCCCCTAAAGATGTAATAAAAAATAAGATTCATATGTTTCTTACATTATTTTTGAAGTGGTAATTCATTATGAATAACTTTTAGTTCTGGTAATAAGTGAGTAAATCCCAAGATACACCACTGTACATTGGCATTGTGGGATGGCTTGTAGTGGGTATACCATATAATGTACCACGTCTCAGACTAACGACGCTCAAGATGTCATTATGATAATTAATAATGCTGAAATAAATTACTAATCTGATATGTTCTCACGTGTCTATATTATGTGTAATTATAATGATCATTGGAACTATTGTCAATATCCTCTTTATTACTGAGTTAAAAATGTTGAAATCTAGACTCTCTGGAACGCTATTTCCTGCTATTTGGGGGACACATTTTGCTGACACAAAGGGTTTCAGCTTGATTTTGAAGGGGCGACGCCCCTAACCTCTTTTTTCGAGAGGAGCGACTGCCCCTTCTGTCCCTTTGTGCTGCCGCTACTGTTTTAAGGTAAGAAGCATGTTTTCGTCAGCGCATATGCAACTCTACGTCAATTAATGCCACGTCTTATCCATGTACGTGTTCAAGTTCCTCGACTTTAAAATAGATTTGAGTCACGACTCAAGTTGCTTTAGAGTTTCTGGTGACGAGTTACATATTGGAGAAATGACTTTGACTGTCTTTATAATCTAAATCAATTTTCTCGTATGATTATGTAATTCTACCAAATACCTTGTCCAACTTTGCCGTACTCACATTAATAAGTCGACATCGACATACATGTAGTGAGTGCCAACCGTTGCTGATTGATATGCGCAACGTTTCGCCCCAATACGATCTGTGTAGGTCATGGTAAATTTCAAACGTTTGTTCGAATGATGAGTGTTATGTCACTGTGGCGGTTCTAGGAGTGTCATAGGGTATGATGATAGGTACAGGTGGGCATGTATTGGAGATGACAGATTCGGGTGAACATGTATAGAGATGACAAATACGGAGTGGACATGTATTAAGATGGCAAGTACAGGTAGACATACTAGTATATTGAGATGGCAGGTAGGGGTGGACATGTATTGAGAAGCCAGATACAGGTGGAAATGTAGTGAGATGCCAGGTAAAGGTGGACATGCATTGAGATGACAGGTACGGGTGGACATGTATTGAGATGGCAGTTACAGGTGGGCATTTAGTGAGATGGCAGGTACGGGTGGACATACTAGTATATTGAGATGGCAGGTAGGGGTGGACATGTATTGAGAAGCCAGATACAGGTGGAAATGTAGTGAGATGCCAGGTAAAGGTGAACATGCATTGAGATGACAGGTACGGGTGGACATGTATTGAGATGGCAGTTACAGGTGGGCATTTAGTGAGATGGCAGGTACGGGTGGACATACTAGTATATTGAGATGGCAGGTAGTGGTGGACATGTATTGAGAAGCCAGATACGGGTGGAAATGTAGTGAGATGACAGACACAAGGTGGACATGTACTGAGATGGCAGGTACAGGACATGTACTGAGATGGCAGACACGAGGTTGACATGTATTGAGATGGCAGGTACATGTGGACATGTATTGAGATGGCAGGTATTGTTGGACATGTATTGAGATGGCAGGTACAGGTGGACATGTATTGAGATGGCAGATACAAGTGGACATGTATTGAGATGGCAGGTATGGGTGGACATGTATTGAGATGGCATTTACATGTGGACATGTATTGAGATGGCAGGTATGGGTGGACATGTATTGAGATGGCATGTATGGGTGGAGATGTATTGAGATGGCAGATACAAGTGGACATGTATTGAGATGGCAGGTACAGGTGGACATGTATTGAGATGACAGGTACGGATGGACGTGTATCGAAATAGTAGGTACGGATGGGCATGTATTGAGAAGATAGGCACAGGTGGACATGTACTGAGATGGCAGACACGAGATGGACATGTATTAGATGACAGATACGGGTGGACATGTATTAAGATGACAGGTACGGATGGACGTGTATCGAAATAGTAGGTACAGATAGGCATGTATTG